GTGACACTCACTGCATAGTAATTTGCTCTAATCTCAAGTAAAGCATCTCATGTAGATGTGCCTTGCAAGTCTGAACTTACTCCTGGGAGTTCACCTTATTCCTAAAACTTCTGCAGATTCCCCAGCATTGTGAGTCCCCAAGTACTCTTAGGGCATGATTTTCACCTTGGAGTGAAGTTCAGAACTGTGGATTTACTCATGGAAATAGGAAAAAAATTGAACTCAGTTCAAACCAAAGACATCTAGGAGAAACTACCCCTCTAGAATGTCAGTCATATTATGTATTTAGAATATTTGGACAAATGGCTCCCAAACATGACACTGAGATCCTAAGTGTAGGAAGACAGACACTGCTCATGTGTCATGTTCTCAGTACTTGGCTTTCAATTATGAAAAAATAAAAGTGTGGGGGACAGAGATGGAAAAAAAGAATAGTCTGCCCCTCTTCTCATCAATCGGGCATAGGCAAAACTTATCTTTAGCTCCCAGTCACCAAGCAGGGTGCAGGGAAATAGAATGGTACTGTTTGATTCCTTTCCCTATTTGGTACAGTGTGTGGTTGAAAGCCCAAGGTGGGTTTTTGAACCCGAAAGCTTGCTTAATAACTATTCTCCAACCATTTGGGTTGGTCTAATAAAAGATATCAAATTCACCCAAGGAACCTTGTCTGCCTATGTCCTTAGACCAACACGGCTACAACCTAAACCCCTGCGCGCACACACACACACACACACACATTTTGATGATTATGGATTTACCTGGAGAATAGCTTCCTTTCCAATTCCTTTACTTCCTTTTCCAATTCTTTTGCCATGCCCCATCATGCAGTGATACAATGCCACTTTATCACAGAATGTCAACTCCAGGGACAACATACCACTACAAGAATTCGTGAACTCCTCAAATTTTAACCTATTTTAACTACAATTCTGAAAATATAACTGAAGTACAACAGTTCTGAAAGCACAGAATTTAATGTGCTGGGTCTCACATAGGTAAACAGTAATTGTAATGCTATAGGACTAAGTTTTGATTTTCCTCCCAGGAGGAGCCCTGGAGAAAGGATCAGAGCTCCAGAAACCAGGCAGAGGATTTTTATGGCATTCTTCACTGTAGGGCAGATGAAAGTAGAAAGGGGAAGAACACTAAATATCAATCCTTACTTTAGAAATACAAGAGTGACCTTCCTGCAATTCCTGCAGCTAGAGGCCATCAGGACAGGCAAGACGTTCACCACATATCTGGCCCAGTAGGCCTCACTCCTGAGACACAGAGCACTGCTGAGGGCACTTGGAGTGCTTTCTACCAGGGTCCCAGGCAGCCTCAAAATAGTGGGAAAGCAGTTCCACATGCTCTTTTCCCTCCAGCATGCTTTCCAATGCAGGACTAGCCAGAATTTATTCTGTAGACTGTGGCACAACATCTTATGATAAAAATGCTTAAGTGCTATTCTGAGCACAGTAAAGTTCTATGTTCACAACTATTTATGGCTGCAGTACTCCTGGGTCCCATTAATAAACCTGATAATTCATTTAATGGATATTCTTCATTCCACCATAATTGCACAAATGGAATATTTTCACCCTTCCATGCATTATAACTTGCACCAGTTAATTCATTTTATGTGCCCTGCTCTTCCAAAAGCATTATAATTTGCTTGGAGGTGTATTACATTAAACTCCATTATAGGAGATATGGCACCTCTGCCGATTATTTAGGATGCCTAACCAGAGACAGTCTTAGAGTAGGTGATGTGGGCAACTGTCCAGGGTGCCATGGTCAGGAGGGGCACCACACACACACACACACACGTGATGCCAGGGGGAGGGGGTCTCAGCAGGGTGGAGCAGACTGATTGGGATTCTGTTTGTAGGGGGGCACCAGCAGCTGCACCTGCTCCCAAGCAGGTGGGGCAGTACATGCAGGGATCCCCGGGGCTGGGGCCAGCAACCCATGGAGGAGAGCAGGGGAGGGCTCCAGTAGAGCCTTGCCTGCACACAGCTGCTTGTGTGTTAGGCCCCGGAGGAGCACCTTAGTGGCTGCGGGGCACTGGAGCCCCCCATGCCAGCACTCGCCGGCTGCTCCTCACAGGCTTCTCCTCCCTCTGCTTCAGCTCTACAGGGCCGCAGCCAGTGGTCCCTGCAGACACCCTACCCAGTTTCCCAGCCCATCAGATGAATCCCCTCTGAGGCAGGGCAGCAGCGCCAGTGATTTGGGAGTAGGGTGCCAAAATACAGGTTTGCCCAGGGCACCATTTTTCCGAAGGCTGGCTCTGTGCCCAAAACTTTCCATTTTAAGATCCTGTTTTTGGATGCTTTAAGAATTTGCAAAACCATAACCACCTGGGTAAAAATTTATAAGCCAGGACTCTGCCAAAGTTTTCCTAAGAACAGGATTACATTATTTTGCCCATGTTAAAAAATCCCAGTGACCTTTTTTAGGAATGGCTCTACCTTTCTTTCCAGCAAGAACTGGCCTATGAGTCAGAAATAAGCCATTTGCCGTCTTGGGATAATCCAATCCTATTTGGTCACATTATAACATGATCCAGCCTCTCCCAGCTCCCACACTGGACTAAACAATGCATGTGCCGTCATGGGCAGATATGGGGGTAGGAGGTGCATGGGGACAGTAGCACTCTCACCCTTTTTGTTTCCTGGTCCACCTAAAGTTTCAAACTAACTACCTTACAGTGACAGCAGCCTTTCTATTCAGGCAGGGAGGGACTCAGCTGACTTAATGGCTCATTATAATCTATCCCATTTCTTCTAAACTCTACGTGGGTGTTAACAACCCTCTCTCCTTTTTAAGGGAGATTTTCCACTAATCAAGCTACTCTTTCTTCTGCAGTTCTGCTCTCTGTTAGCTGTCCCTAGTAATGCAGCTCCTATTTCACAGCCCTGCAAACTGTTTTTAACTCTAGCAGAAACATTAATTCAGATATGGAAACATTAACTCCGGTAAACATTAACTCAGATGATAAAATCACTTGTCTATACATAAATGCATGGAGCCTGAGAAACAAGCAGGAAGAATTGGAAGTCCTTCCACAGGCAGAGAACTATGACATGACTGGAATAACAGAGACTTGGTGGGACAGCTCGCACGACTGGAGCACTGTCATGCATGGGTATAAACTGTTCAGAAAGGACAGGCAGGGGAGAAGAAGAGGAGGAGGAGTTGTGCTTTATGTAAAAGAGCTGTATGATTGCTCAGTGCAGACAAAGCCTTGGCTGGGAAGCTATAGTTGGGGATGGTCCTACTTTGAGCAGGGGGTTGGACTAGATGACCTCCTGAGGTCCCTTCCAACCCAAATTTTCTATGATTCTATGAAAATATTCTTTGTCTTTTGATTATTAGAAATCCAGTCCACAGACACTGGGTTCTTTGATAATGTAGCACCCATTTTAAGTTCACGGACCAAACCAAACTAAACTGTTGTTCCCATCCCCACACCCCCCAGCTTTACTGTGGCAGGTTAGAGTGTTACGTCTTGTTGTTATATCAGGGTTGACTGTGAAGTTTTAGTAATAGGTTAGACCAGGGATGCTCAGGCCTTGGCCTCTGTGGGCCACACCCAGCCCACAGAGGTAAATCATCTGGCCCTACAGTGCTCCCCATGGGTCCAGAAAATTGGTGAATGAGGAATGTTGATAGCATTAAGCATTAATTGCTGCTCCCAAATTGCCAAATTTCTGGATCTGTAGGGAGTCTTGCTGATGGACAGGATGTTTAGGGGCACTAAATCAGTGGTGCAGGGCCTGGCTGAGGCAGTACAAGGCTGCCTCATGCACTGACCCTTCACAAGATATGGCCCATGGACCAGTCCCATGCTACTCAACTGGTCTACAGGGCCAAAAGGTTGAATACTACTGTATTAGACAATGGATTGGTATAGGATGGTTTGGATAAGGATGATCCTGCCAAAGCAAGGGGTTGCACTATGGGAGTCCCTTCCACCCTACTTCTCTATGATTCTATTGGATGCACTGTCAAGATCCTCAAGAAGGCTAGACTTTCTTTTATGAATCTGAAAAGACGTGTGAATTTAATTCTAATGACTACAGGATTATAGAAACAATATCTTATCATTTATTTTTTTGCCTAGTTTGTTGTGTTTTTATACATAGTATAGAGCAAATGAATGCACCTTCCAATACGACTGAAGCAAAAATATTTATAAGTTTAAACTGAATAATATATCCCTGGGCCCCTAACTTATTAGTAAAGCTTCTAACTTCTAGAAAAATATGTATTGTGTGATGAGGCACCACAGCATCTACACCTCCCTTTTCAAAACCTTAGATCTTCCCATATGTGCCATCTCTGCAGAGTGCCCATCCCAGGATTACAGGAGCAAAGCTTGACTTTCCCTATAATGGCTGCTCTGGGACACTAGACAGACATTGTTCTCTGTAGGTGTGGAATTAGGCTCACTGATGCTGTCACTCAGAGTGTCACAGCTAGGAAGAGAAGTAGCCTGTCTGTCCTGTGATCTCAGTACAGTCCCTGCTGAATCCAGGCAGTGTGAAAAGGAAGCTGTCTATTCACACATAGAATTGACAAGTATCAGATCAAAGGATAAAAAAGGAGTGGCTGGCAACCACGAGTCTGGCAAACCTGGAACTGAAGCAGGAGGGAGAGAAACTGGGATATGGAAACTCATGAACGACTGGTGCCTCCCAAGACTGGGGGGGTACCATTTGTGGGTGGCAGCGGGGACCGCCTGCTCATGCCAGCAGTGGTGTCGGTGGCATGGGGGTGTGGTGAGCAGGGACCACTCTAAAAACAACTCTAAAGTTGCTGGTGGCATCTGCATTGACAGAAGGGGGGTGGCAAGCAGCAACAGCCCACAGAAGCTGGTGGCAGCCAATCTCAGGAGGACACGTGCCTATGTGGAAACTGGGACTAGATGCTAAGACTGGTGGGAGTGGTTGGGCAAGGAAATTAGAGAGGAGCATGCTCTGGGTCCCAGAATCTGTAACAGAACCCAATCTCACCATTCTTCTTCTGTCAGCAAATATCTACGAAAACCACTGGCAAGTGTTCCTCATGTCTTCTAGTCTTCTACTGCTATGACTTATTCTGTAAGATTAAATGACAGAGATCTAGGCAGAAGATCTGTAAATATGCACCCTGCTACTGAACCACATGGTTGTCAGCATAATGCCGTATGATTTTTACTTACTTTTTTATTTAAAACCTAGAAAATGACACAAGAAAAACTATACAGTGAGAAACTTTAGGCCCCAAAACCCAAAAGCAGTGTCCACAAACACACTGGGCTACACCAGGGCAAGCCAGCTGGCCGCTGGCCCTCTGAGTGACAGCTCCAATGAGCCTAACCCTGGTGGCACAGCTACACTGCTTCCAGCCAGTGAGGCAGTTCATACAAAGTAGCATGGTGTTTCTGAGGAAGCAGCTGTTTGGCATGGTAAGTTTGGAATGGTGCTGCTGCTGCAAGGTCAAGCATGCAAAAGTTAGGAAATTTAAGATATAAGGCTGAGTAGATTTGCATCTAAAATACTAAACAAAGCAGATTCTATACATAGAGAGAGAGAGGGAGAGAGAGAAAGAAAGAGAGAGAGTGCACAAGCTTTTCTGGAGTAACGCCCCTTTCATCAGATGCTGTAAGAGGGCATGCACAAAGCAGTGTAGAAAAAGGAGAGATATAAGGCTCCCAGCCAGGCTTAATGTGTCTCTGTTATACATTATATAGTTTTTACTTACTTATTCACATACTATGTTTTCCACAAGACCCTGCCTCATTCAGCATGGGAAAGACCTACTTTGGGGATGAGTTGGGATGGCATAGTAGTGTAATTAAAGGAGACTGTTGTCTGAAGGACCTCTACTTCATTGTCTATAGGAAACAGAAGGTATGCAATGAATGAATGAGGCAAGAGTTTGCAGGAAGAGAAAGGACGGGTGCATGGGAAACTGGATGCTCTCCTAGGCCTCTACCACACAGTCCCTGTATTGAGCAAGTCACATAGAATTTGTGATTAGGACGCTCTCCTGGGAAGTGGGAGACAGAGGTCCAGACAACCACAGGATTAGGGGGGCCTAAAACTCTGGTCCTTCACTTCCTAGACATGTAGTTTAACCACTAGGCTGTGGGGCAAAAGAGTGTGATGGCATTACCATCACCATACACCTTAGTTCTCAAATAAGGATCTGGAATTAATGAGTCTTCCAAAACAGAACTGGATCACAACAAAGCATAAGTGGAGTTAAATGACTAGATGGCTGTATTGGATTTCTTCCAAGTATGCACAGTAGGCGAAGTATTGCTGTTCAGGGATCTCTTCGGGCTAACAGGCAGCTGTATGAGGAGCCCAGGCACCTCACTGGAATTGGCTGTGGGACAGGATGGCTTAGATGCTTAAGGATGTATAAGAGCCACTTAAGTGACTTAGAGCAGATAGGATCCTGGTCCTCATCTTCATTTTAGAGTTTGAATAGTGAACAGTAAACAAACCCTATGACCACACACTAAACAACAAGGACAGACTATTGAAGAGCTGCTCGTTATCTGAGCGCCTCATATCCTGTATATAAAATAATGCAGAGATTTGAATGAGTATGTCACTGAAAACTGCACACACTCAAGAGAGGACTGTATTAAGGCTGCATTTCCTTATTTTACAACCTTAACAGTGATTCTTTAACATAATTTTACATGCATTTGGTGTTCATCTGGTGGGCAAAGATAAACAGATAAGATGAATAAAAAAATAACACTTTCATCACCTTTAAGCTGCCAAGTAAGTTAAAAAAATACTTTCTGGTATTCAGCATTTAGCCTCTGAAATTGCCATCAGAAGACAAAGGGCAAAACATGGGATATAAAATACACTGTAGCCCAGCTATCTGTATTATTATCATTTTAAAATAAAAGAATTCTTTGAGAAAAAAATACAACATATTCAAACCTCTATGTTTTTGCAGGCAGTGTGTGTATTGCATAAATATCTTGAAAATGTATAGGCATACTTTTATTACAGTTTGATTTGAGTTCATATATGTATCATGGTCATAAGTTTATTTTAATATAGATTGAAAAATATATTGCTTCCCAGTAAACATGCTGGAAGAAGTATCAATAGATCTATTTTTATGGCAATAGGAATTACTGTGATGTTTCCCTATATGTATGCATATAAAGTGCTACAAGAAAGCATTTCTTAGTCTCAAACAAACAATACTACCAGAAATAAATATTGAGAGAAAAGAGGTCAAAGAACAGAGATTAAAGATTATAGCCACAACACAAGCCCTTTCTACCTGTTTTAAAAACCTCTACAAAACGTCCTCTTCACTAGTCAGGGTAAAACACCAAGAACTTTTCCCTTCAGCAGACGCTATTCATCCACCTTCTACTTGTAAAACAAGAGGAAACATTATCTTCTAAACAAAACTTACAAAGATGATGGGGTTTAATTCCTCAGAAAAGCACTACAGGTAGACTATGTGCAGGCACATACGATTACTGATAATTGATGCTATTTGCTTTTAGCAAATCTAGTCGATGCTAAAAGCTGGCTCTTAATAGAAAATTGTGTGAATATAAAAAAAGATGTTGTGTTACATAGAATTGATTGTCTTAGAAAAACATCTTTATAAAAGAATTTGCAGGCTAAGCATAGAAATTAAAATTCTGCCAATGAATGCACCTGATAATGCACTGAATGTGCCTGACTTCAGTCAGAGACCAGAATCTGGCACACACCCTGTTCAGACCCTGGCACCTAATTCTACAAAGAACTGGTTTCTGCTCATTTCTATATGAATGAAATGAGGAATCCTCCATCATTGTAGCAGATGGATCAGCAGCCAAGCTTACTTCTTCAGACCCAAGGCTGCAGTAGTGGGCTCCACAGCCATTTCCAATGGCCCCATGAAGTAGCTGGTTATATGTTCGCCAGGGTCCATGTTCACATGCAGATACACACTATCAGATAACTGCAAGGAGATGTTTCTATTTTGTGTTGTTAACTTTTTCCTTATATTTTTTAAATAATTAAGTGAATCCAGGTTTTTTTAAATAATATATGATTGACAGAAACAGATGGGAGAGTCAAAGTTATGATTCTCATGCTATGCCAGTACCTGTTTTAGTCTTGCAATCAGGCTGAATTAGAGAAAGACTTGCATACATGTGGCACCCCTAGGTCTTCAGTATGACTCTGGGAAGCCCACGTAGATCTGATCACAAGATTAGGCTGTAGTTAATTTCCTTCAAAAGCCTCGTTCTGATACTTTTTACAAACATTTGGGTTTCTATGTTGCAGCTTGTTCGCTGTTAGACAAATATGAATAACTCTTAGGCTTAGGAAATTAAGTATCTTTTTAACAGCATCTAAATTAGTTTGCATGTGCTTATATGTGTGTATGTATATATTTTAACTCTCTCTATATATCCATGGATTCTGCCCTTCAAATCTTTGCTTCTGAGAACATTCTTCAAATGAATGTGGGAGATGTCTAGAGTTTGTCAAATCCTTCTGAAAATGTATATACTGGAAAAATGCATGTGTGTACCTGCTTACATGAATATGTGTACATATAGACAGAGCAGGTATGTTATCATGTGCACATGTGTAATGTTGTCTTTAGGTGGCCCATCTGTATTTTATTCTACATTACAACTATGGTAGATTAAGAGATTATGTTTACTGACTTTTTTCTACAGCTAGAAAATTATTATTAAATTGCAAAAAGACTATTAAAATCATTATGCAGGGAGTTAAAGCAGGCACTGTGAACAATTCATAACGTGCTTAAAATCTGGAGTCAATGATTTAATTTTTGCTGGTGTGAAGAATCTGAAATAACTCATCTGGGAAGCATTTCACTGGTATAGAAACACCAAGGGCTTACCTCCCACAACCCATTTGTCTAAATTAATGATTGATTCCTTAGAGGCAATGTTACATGCAAACAACAACATATTTGTGGTGCCTTCTGTGAATTTGCTGGTGTGTTCTTTGCATTCGGGGTATATGAGCAGTCCTGTATACAACATGTTTTGTTTACAAGAAGCTGATTCGGCCCACACATGCTCCTCTAGTGCCAAGGGAGGGTGTAACAAGTTTTTTGCCAGTTCAAATGACTTTATCACTAGGTTAGTAAAATAATATAACTTTGAACTGTACTTAAGTGAGATAAAGCCTCCTTTAAAAATGATAAAAGTGGGAGGACAGAATTAATTCTTCAACATTCCTGGCAATGAAAAACAATGAAAATATTTATGAATTCATACAACAATGAACAAATATATCAAATCTGACCCCACTTCCTTTTGTATTAAATGTCTGCCCAGCTCAACAAGCAGTAAACTCATCTTCTAAGACCTTAGCACATCACAGGCTCCAGCTTTATATCCATTTACCAGTTCTCTCAGCGAGAACCGTAAGATGCGCCTAACTGAATCTGAGAATAAAATGCGGTTCAACTATATGAAGGGTATTCTCTGTAATCAATCAGGCTTTGTATTACCTGAAAGACAGGTGAATTCTACCATTTTTATCTCTCTTTTTGCATTTGTCTGCTAGAGAGGAACAGCATGCACATGCACCCACACACTCAGAATAGTTACCTTTAGAGACTGCCTCAACAATCCTGGAAGACCTTGAAGATAAAGAACAACAGAACAAGTATTTGTGAATCTTATTCAATGACTAGTAACTCCACACAGGTGACAATGTCAATAGTAAAAGCACTCCCTGGCCTCACAAATTAAGAAATTGCAGGAGAAGAAAAGAATGAGCAAACAGGGAAAATGAGAGCATGATGAGTCTCCAGAGTGACTCTTATCATGGACTTAGTACCTGTAGATATAGAGTGCCTTCTTTGTAGTTCTCAATCAATTATATTGAATGGTACACAGTCTGTAGGTAAGGGCTTGATTAATCAAATCCAGAGACTACTTCATAGATCTGATCACAGAGAAGATTGCATTTCTGTTCTCTTTTCTGACATTAGTATGGTTGCAATAATAACTATACAAAAGGGCAGAGGATGGATGTATAGACCTCCATGATGCACCACAATGATGCTTAGGAAAAGGGAAATAGATGGAAAATTAAAGACTAAGGGCTTTTTCCAAGTGAGGTTACACAAGACTGCAGAAAACACTGCCATCTTACCACTAGTAGAGGATGCTGTTAAGTGGATCCAGAGAGCTAGCTAGACAGCAGGAGGAAAGAAAGAAATGAGAAATGAAGAGAGGCTAAAAAGAGAATTCTTCATAAAGTTTGTACTGAGTGCAGGAGTCTGAGAAAGAGCAATGTAACACAAACAACCTGTTCTTCAAATTGAGTCTATCTGAAAGCTTTTAAAAAGCAAGAAGCTTGTTAAAGATAAAACCAAGCTATGGTCATGTAAAAATAAGAGTAACAAATCCTTGAGTAACACACAAACCAATGCCCAAGAACACTTGGATAATAACATTCCTGTAGCAACTTCCATATGAAGATTTCTAAAAGCATTAACAATATTCAGGGATTGAGCCTCATCACACCACCATTATCACAGCATTGGGAAGTGGCAATCATGCACAAATACAGACTGGAGAATAAATGGCTTAGTTGTAGTATTGCAGGAAAAGACCTGGGGGCTTATAGTGGATGACAAGCTGAATGCGAGTCAATGGTGTGCTCTTGCTCAAAAAAAAAAGCCAATAGCATACTAGCTTGTACTAACAGGACTATCACCTGCAAGTCAACACTTCCGCTCTTGTTTCTTCCACTTTGTTCAGCACTGGTGAGGCCTCACCTGGAGTACTGTGTCCAGGTTGGGCACTGCACTTCAAGACATGAAGAAATTGGAAAAAGTCCAGAAAAGGGCAACAACAATAATTAGAGGTCTAGGAAACATGACTTAATAGAAAAGGGAAGACCTTAAACTATACAGCCTGGAGAAGAGAAAACTGAAGGGCTGTATTAAATCATGAGGTCCCTTCCATCCCTACTTTTCTATGATCCTCTGAGATGTGATAACCAACAAGAGGATGGTTATAGATAGACTATTCGCTGTAGATGTAGGGGATAAGACAAGCAGTAATAGTCCTAAATTATACGAGGTATTTACTTTGAGCATTAGGAACCCCTTTCTAACTATAAGGGTGGTTAAGTATTGGACAGATTACCTAAAGAAATTATGGAATCACCATCCTTGAAGTTTTTAAGAGCTTGGATGAGATGGTTTACCCAAGAATGATCCTGCCTTAAGCAGGGGGGGTGGAGCAGATGACCACCTGAGTTTCCCTCCAGGCCTATTTTCTAGAATTCTAAGAGCAGAGAAGACTTCACTAGAGGATCAAAGTAACAGATACTCATATCTGTGACAACTGAATTAGACCCCAGTCAATTCATTTCAAAGCCCAGTTTTGCAGCCTTACCATACTTCCTGGTATTTTGTTCCAATTTATAGTAGAAAAGGGTTGTTCACAACTATAACTACCTCCCAAAATGAGCATGCACACTACACCCTATGGACACAGCTCCAGACCTCATAGTTCTATCTCAGTGATTCTCAACCAAAGAGCCACAGAGCCCTGGGGTGCCTTGAGATCCTTTTGAGGGTGCTACACAGTTTTAGCACTGTTAGGTGTACAGACATGATTCACAAGATAAACCCAGAGGGCCTTTATACACATGCTCTAGGAGGCAGGGGAGGAGGGGCCTTTAATTAAAGCAGCTCCAAGAGTAATAAATAAAAGCACCTGGAGCATCGTGTGCATCAGCGCCCCCACGCTGAAAAATGGTAGCAGGGGTGCTTTAACTACAACTCATAATGAGCTGCTGTTAAAGCACCCCTGCCACCATTTTTCAGTGTGGGCTCGCTGATACATGTGACACTGGAGTCCGCTGGAGCACAGTAATTGCCATACTCCAGTGGACTCAATTAATTATGCACTGTAATTACAGCTTCGATGCACATGTATAGGCACCCAGAAATTTCAAATAGAAATTCAGAGGGTTCAAAGCATTCTGACCTGTTTGTGGTCTTTCTGAGTTTTTAGCAACAGAAGAATTGCTCTATTATTTTTCTGTGGTCAAAAAATGAGTGAAACTTAAGACCTAGCATTCACCAAGGGGTATCTTGAGTCTTAAAAGGTTGAAACCCACTATTCAATCCCTTATAATGGAATAAGGCACAGAAATTTAAGTCCATTCATTCTAGCCAAATGTTGGCTTCAGCTTCCTTGGATAATCTGAAAATGAATCTGAAAACATGAAAACAAAGTGAGCATTTTTTTCACCTTTAAGAGGCTGAACCATCAAATCTATGGCTCTTGAAGTTTCTTGATCCACTTAGCACTGGAAAAATGTATCTTTAATATTTGTTGGAGAGTTGTGAAGTTTACCCAGTACCTCAGTCATACTCCCCTTTTCCATACGTGTATATCTGCCATCTCCAATAATGCGCTGCTTCTGCTGCAGAGATAGCAAAGCTGATACCTGCGCACCTTAGGAAGAGTACAGCAACCATGCTCAAGCCCTGATATAAATGGGACATTATGAATATTCAGAGCTAGCATATTCCACAGAGGAATGGGGGAAGAACATGGAAAAAGAGAAACTGGAGGGATTTGGAGGGAAAAAATTGTATTTTTGGTTCATAGATTCATAGATGCTAGGGTCGGAAGGGACCTCAATAGATCATCGAGTCTGACCCCCTGCATAGGCAGGAAAG